TCTTCTTCTTTTTTCCCCCGTCCCCCCCCCCCCCCCCCGTCTCTGAAGCCACAGACCCGGCCCTGTTGGACAACTCGCTGCAGCGAAAGCTGCGAGCTAACAGGGAGGTGGCGCTGTCCCGGCTGGAGGAGGTGATCTCAAAGTATGCCGTCAAACAGGAGGACATGGAGGAGCAGGACAGGAGCAGGAGACAGGAGAAGGAGGTGAGAGTGTGGTCCTCCTGCCGTCACTTCCTGTTTGACACTCGGTGTCGTCTGAACTTCAAGGACTCGTTTTTTTTTTTCCAGGACAACAAACCAGAGGAGGGAGAAGAAAAGAAAGCTGTAAATGGAGTAACAGAGGAGGAGGAGCAGCCGGAGGAGGAGGAGGACGATGAAGATGATGACTCCTCAGATCCTGATATAGAGGAGGAGATCAGGGCCAGCACTCAGCAGGACGGAGCAGGTCAGAACACGGATCTTTTTCTTTTTGTCACTGCCCCCCCCACCCCCCCCCCCCCCCCCGCCTCAAAAAAAAAAAAATAATTTGATTAGTTTAATTTTCTTTGTCCAGTTGAGGACGAGAAGGACCACAGTACTGAGCAGGGAGGAGACGAAGACAACGCTCCCAGATGGACGGGTGAATTGATGAACACCAAAAAGGAGGAGGAGGAGGAGGAGGAGCAGGTCACAGGTGGTCCTCTGTCCAATGACAGCATGTCTCAGGCGTCTCCGTCTGACGTCCCCTCCACTAAAAACAGCTTCAGCCAATCAGAGGCCGGGCCAGTTGACGAGCGGCGGCCCTTAACGAACGGGAAACCAGAGGAGCCCCTGGGGCGCCCCCGTCACCGCCCATCCTCTGAGGAGCACCATGTGGTCACCACGGTCACAGCCAATGGGACGTCACCACCGAGGACTCTTAAAGAGTCGGGGACAGAGATGACCAACGGAGTGACGTCAGACCTGCCCAGAGTGACCAGGAGTGTGAAGAGGAAGAGGGGAGAGGTGGAGTCCAGGAGTACCCTCAGAACCAAGCACATCGTCATCACCGACAGGTACAGTACCGATCCTGCAGACACCAGGGGACCAGGCAAACGCTTCCTCCAGTCTGTCGCCCCCTACTGTTGACTGTGTGTCAGTGAGGGGCGACCTGCTACATGGAGAGCTGAAGCTTCATCTGGTGGTCAGTTAGTGCCATCTGGTGGTCATATCTGTTGTTTTTTTCTCTTTCTAATGTAATTGAA